TGTTGGGCTTTTTTCAGTGTTTTGTTTGTTCGTGAGTAAATCGATTTGGCTGAGATTAAAGTTATTAGATTAGATAAATAAAATAAAACTTTATTAATCCCCCGGGTGGGTTCCTCCTTGGTTTTTACACAGCTGACTAAACGTCAAACAGAAAACTGATTAAACAGAAGTATGAGACAGTCGAGAATTTACGCCAGTGTCCCGTTATATTTTAGATAGCAAGGAGCAGACGGCTGAGTTTATTAAACTCTACCGAGACAGCGGTGACGCTAATCAGAAGGCTAGACCGTCCAATTTCACGGCCGTTTACTTCCGGCCTACCAGACGTTCTGAGGACCCGGCCCACGTAGACCGCGAAGGCCGGGTCCTCAGGAGGATGCAGCCCATGAATTTGGACACGACCATGTTGAGGAGGTAACTTAGCCATTTAAATCAGCTGTGTTCAATCAAGGACACATCTAAAACCTGCAGGACACCGGCCCTCGAGGCCTGGAGTTCGACATACCTGGTCTAGGGTCTCTGTCAGCCGGGTTATGGTCGTCTTAACAGCTTGAAAAAAAGGCAACTGGACTTCTGCACATTTTGCACCTCATTCATTCAGTCGCAGACCAACTGTTGGAGGGTCCTATGTATTAAAATGCCTAGTGGAGGTTGTTCTCTTGTTTCCTGGAGGTGAGCCTATGAACTGGTTCACTCTAAGGACAAAACACCCAAACACAAGCAAAACAACACAGTGTATGCGGTGCAGTGCAGCGAGAAGTGATTAGATCTCTACATAAGACAAACAGCTCTCCTCTCTACAAACAGGAAACAACACAGCTTTACACCTGCATTTTAAGATTATGACACTCCTTCCAGGATGCCAGTGTTTATATTTTGGGCAGAGAAGACACATGATTTAAGATACAAGTGAAGGGCGCCATCGACGTCTACTGTAGCTGCTATCACCCACCAACAGTGCAGTCCTGCGATCCATTTCAGGCGTTTCAACTCCCATTCACATTTGGCCTCAGGTGACCATAATAACTCACATCATGGTGGGGTGGGCCATTGTCTCACAGAGGTTTCACCTGTGGGCCCAGTGATGGGAATGACCCACGTTTTCTCTCCTCGTCATGTCTCATGTGACAACGTGATCAACACTGTGCTGACGACCCTTAGGGCCAGCTCCAAGATGACACCCGCCACTAGCGGTTTATTACCTCCAACTGTTTTGGACTCCACCAGTTGAACCAAAGAAGCTTCTTGGATGAGAAAACCCATACAATCACACCCAGATAAATAAAGTCCTAAAGTACCTTCATTAGTCTGGTCTTACAAAAAGATACTCCAAGGTGTTTTTCCCTGCTTTTTTTAGCTAGACAAAAATTATCACCCTGTGCCTCTGTTAGTACCATGCTAACATAGTTAGTTGAACAGTGCTAATATTAGCATTTTTTTCTTTTTGTGTATACAGTTTGTAATTGTGGCTATTACAATACTTATACTCACTGTTTTGAGTGCATAATTGCATGACAAATAGCCACAGGAACAGCTGGACAAGTACCAGGATGCTTTACAATGAAATATCAAAAAATTGAGTGTGTAACACTAAACCTCTCACAGGTGTTTTCACATCTGTGGTGTTTAGTCCATTTAAATCAAATTATGGTTCATTTTCCTGATGGTGGGGTTCATTTGTATAATAATGTAACATACTAAATCATGAATTGATAAATATTTTCTACTCAGGACCTTGCATTTTGGCTCAGCATTTTTTAATAAGTTGCTTGAAGCTTTACCACTATGTACCCACATCAATAATTTTCATCTACCCTGGTCTCCCTGTCAAATGGAGCGCCAGTGAATACTCCAGAGAAGCTGGTTGAGTCATTTGTTTACTTTGGGTTACACATCACTAGCTGCTAGTATATCCACCTTACATTCCTGCTGTATGAAATGGCAGTTTAATCCTCAAGTGGTGAAGTTTGTTGTTTCCACCTTTAGTGGGATCAGCTTTCTTGCTTATTTTGCAAAGTTCACAGATAATAAAATAATGACAGAACAGAGAAAAATTACCCTTAAAAAACAGTTTTGAATTTGGCGCATCATTTATATCTCTACATTTTAGCAAGCCTACTTAAGACTAGTACATTGGAGAATAGGGCAAACAACGAAGAAAACAAAAACAAAAACATTTTATTATCCATTCTTGCAGTTAGGATAAGCCAGTTTTAGTCATCCTGACTCTAAAGGGTATTTAAAGGGTATCTACATTAGCCTGATTGAAGGTAGCAAACAAAAGGGCACTCTGTAACAAAAAGGTAGCAATTAGCACAAGTTATTGCTTCCCATTCTTCCTAGGAAACTTCATCACACACCCACAACCCCATTACGTACCCACACCTTTTACTCCATAAAGCAATGCAACTAATCCTGAGTATTTTGAGACACTGAAGTATCATCCTGTGTTTGTGTGTGTGTGTGTTTAAATAAAGCTAGCAATAGTTATGGTCAGCACTGTTGTGTTTTTCCTGAGATCAGGAATGTTTATCTTTTTGACAAAATCTTCAGTGGGTTTGTGGTGACGTTTAACAAGTCCATAATAAACAGGTCTTGGGTTGAAATGGTTCTTCATATCTTTGAGTTATGAATATGAATCCTTCTCCACCTCATCCTCATCCACCTTGAGATGTCTTCACAGTGTTTTACTGTGGGTTTGATACATTGTTGTGTGGTTTCTCTCTTCAGTCAGTCTCCTTGCAAACAACCTTCCATTACTACCACGAACCACAAAATAGGATTCATCAGTAAATAAAACTTTTTCCATTACAAAGTATGTCTTTATAGACGCTATGCATCCTCTGACACTATGACCTTGTTTAGACAGAGAAATTTTAGAAATTCTTTAGACAAAATTGCTTGTCCATCACTAGTGCAAGACTTGATGGTGTGCTAATTTTTGTCTGTCAAATCCTGCTTTGATTCAACTGATCCAGTTGTCACCAAGTGTTTTTGAGGTCTGTCCTCTTAGAAGCCTTCAGTCTAGCCATTAAACAGTGTTGGGAAGGTTACTTTTAAAAATGTATTCCACTACAGATTACAGATTACATGCCCCAAAATGTATTTTGTAACGTATTCCGTTACGTTACTCAATGAGAGTAACGTATTCTGAATACTCAGGATTACTTAATATATTATCAAACTTTTTACAACTACATGAATCTACTATTGCTGTGTGATTTATTACTTTTACTGAAGGTTACTGGCCATACAACTAGATTTTTAAATCTTAATATAAAACGAGTAACAGTAGAGTGGACATAGAAAACGCGTATATAAAACAGGTCCGCGGCTCTGAACCGTAGTAAAGGGACCTCTGGCTAATACGTCGGGTTCATGTCGGGCTCGTAGCTGAAAACTAGCTTTACTTTGTTGTCTGGCTCAACTTTTCTAGGGAGAGACAGAGAGAGGAGTTGAAAGGCTGCTGCAACAGAACTTATTGTTTCAGAGGAAAACACGAACACGGTGTACAGTCGAGTCTTAATAGCTTACTTACATCTGGACTACACTGCCCATGAGGCTACATTCTTTAGGGCTATTCCTGTACTGGCAATTTTTTGAACAATAATTTTAAACAATAGTTCTTCCCGTCATTATGCGGGTTGAAATTAGAGGTTAATGCTGTCGGGCCTTCACTGAACCACCAGCAAAAGAAGATGAAACTACACGTCATGGTTGAAAAACACAGAAATAAATTCCCTCTTACTTTGGCTGTTTGGCTTCCACCACGATTAAAATCGCACTTTCTGCACAGCTCCCTCTCTCTCTCTCAGTGAAACCGGTTAACCATCAAAAATCTCTGTTTTCTACATTATTTGCTTGCTTATTACTCAGCAGTCAGCTGCTGCGTTTTTGTTTTTACAAAATGACCTCTGACAAGAAAGCCTAACTTCTTCTGTTTAATACAGAAGAAATTAACATTTTTGTAAATGATGCCAAATTTCAAAACTCTTAGCTGTGTCTCTAATAAAACTTCTTTAAGTTTACTCTGTAACTTTTTGCTTTTCTTTCAGCAGCATCAGGTAATGTTCATGAGTTGATTCATGGTTTTCTTCAGTTTTTGATCTGCTGCAGAATATTTTTAAGCCTATCCACTATAAAAAGCCAGACCAGAAAAATCTCCTTCATGTTTTTTTGTGTTTTATCCTCAGTTACTTTGACACAAAGGCATCTGCTGTGATGCTTAAACCTCTGATGAAGTCTCACAAGCTTTGTTTTTATACACAAATATAAAAATATGGATATGTACTGATAAATTGTCAATTAATATTTATTTAAAATAATATTTCTGACTGAGTCCAAATTCAATCAAATCAAATCAAATCCAGACCTAGTGAATCAGAATTAAACCAGCTATAGAAATCAGTGACGATACCCAGCCCTATGCTACACCGACCACGGCTCAACACAGTAACCTTAACTTGGAAAGTCATCTGCCTTTCACTTCAAGTTAGATTTGATCTAAAGCCAAAATCACACCTACATTTTTCAGGCATGCCCCTTTTTCCCATATGGCTGACACCAAGTAAAAGCTAATTCCCCAGTGAATGCTCATGACGGAGCCAGACATAGCTGATGGCACATTTGTGACCCAGCAGAAAAGCCTTTATATCTGTCCTATATCTGTGTGCTAAGTTTCATTCTTTTTGCCAAGTCTACATCACTGCAGGGAGTGGAGAGCCGTTTATAGATATCAGGGTGTCTAAATGGATTTTCTCAAACACTCTGCACTGTTGTGGTTTTTAAACCCACATCTTTTTGCTTCTCATCAGAAAATTTGTCAGTGTGGCAGGGAGGTGGAGGTTAAAAAGTTTGTTTTGCCCAGCAGAACGTTCAAGCTTAGGGCATTAGTCAAGCACATCATATTAAAATGAGCCCACAAAAGGTTATCTGTAATAAATTAGAGTCGGCAGTGTAAAAATTCAAGGCATACACAACAAGATGGGGCAGCATCTTACCTATTGCATCTCCTTGTTCATGAACCATGCTGGCCAGATCCTTCATGATTTGACTGACATCCAGCATGTCTCTCTATGGAGAAATCACAGTGAATGCTCATGTTAGTCCTCCGTACATATCAGTCCATGAGAGACAATGTGCACATAGGACAAAGATTATAGCTTGAAAAGTAAGGTTATTAGTATTCATTTATTAATAATATTATTGTCCATATTTACACTGTTTGGTCTTATTAGATGTTATCATCTTTATTACTTAAACTAAATGCAAAGTATTATCAATATTGAATAATGCACAAAGTCATCTTGCATATGTGAGCAGGCAGTCAGGCTTAATTACAGAAACAGAATATGTAACAGAATAACATAACATTATTTCATTTCACTACATTTTTTTTATTTTTTATTTTTATCTAATAAAAAAGACTCTAAAGTGCAAAGGTGGGATTTGCATATTCTTTATCACCCTGATCAATCCTGATCGATCAAAGAAGTAGTAGAAAGGATGGTTCATGGTTTCAGATGGACAGAGATCAATTGAAGCCAGTTTTGACTGATATTATGTCAACAAAAAAATTGTAGGAAACTGTAGTGGCTTTTTGTCATCCTTAAATGTTTTGCTCATAGTTGTGCAGCTATGAAGGATTTCTATAGAAAATGCAATTCTAATTCAATTTCCCTGTCCCTTTAATTGACAGTGGATTTGTGTCTAATCCTAAATGTTTTGTGCTTGGCTTGTCCAAAAGTAAAAAAAAAAAAAATGCAGTTCAAAGTTTTTGTTCAATTATTCCACTGTCAAGGCACAGAGCGAACTGGTGCAGCTATGGCTGACCGCAGCTAATTCTCCACAGTCTCAGAGCTTTGAATCTGCTCTCAATGTTTCAGCTCAAAGCAATATGAAAGCTTATAAAACCTCTGTCTATCTCATGCTCGCAGGTCCCCCCCTTTTCCTCCATTATAGCACCGTGCAATCACAGCTGCGTTTGTGTAGCCTAACCCACTGGGCCATCCATCACAGGTGGCGGAGTTTGCTGTGGAAACTGGCAGCCATCCTGCCACTTGGCAAAAACCATTTGAATGGAGCAAAAATGGCCCCTGGCAAAGCTTGTGATGCTAAAGACTTTTTGCATTTATCTTGAGGCAACCCTGTCCATCACCCTGTAATAGAATAATAAATTTATTTTACCTGGCAAAGCATTGGGCAATCAGGGCTCATTTTATCATAATGACAGAACAGTGTGTAACCAATTTAGCAAACACTGTGTTGCGAATAGACATAGACAGACGGGGGGGACACACACACACGTACACACCCAGGTGGGTTGGGGCGACCGTGGGTGGGTGGGTGCAGTGGACCCCTGCCTGAGGGCTGAGTGGGTGGCCAGGCTTGGAGCCAGCACTGTGCCCTTTTCCATATTTCATGTGCTTCAAATTCTTCTCATGAGCAATCCAGAAGCCACTGGATACTGGCATCAGGCTAGGAACCAGCCAACATGGATGTTCATTAGGATGATTTGTTTGTTGCCTTTTTTCCAAGACTTGCAACAACAAAAAGGACATTCTGATAGCCAGCTCTGATACTCCCCCACATTGAAAGGAGCCAGCTGAGGTGGTTCAGGCTTCCAAGTTTAGATGGTTAAAATGAAGTTACTTAAGCATCCAAACGTCCACCTCATTCAGTTATAACAAAGCTCTTCATTTAAATGCACATCATCGTGCTTTCTTGCTTTTCAGTGGTTATGGAGATATTTTTTTCCACTAAGTGCAACTACGAGGACACTGCATTCCATCATATATAAGGGCTTTCTACAGAGCCCTCCATTTCTGACTGACCAAGACCTAAGACAACCATATAGACTACTGTATGTTTTCTCCTTTGTGTGGGCACCTTAAAGGGCATTTTATCCTGTTTGCTCTTCTATAATGACATCCTAGAGAGCCCTAGTGCATTAGCATTTGTGCCAGTTCAGCTGAATTTTCTTTCTATGACACATTTTCCGTCTGTACACAATGTTATTCATCAAAGTCAAGGAAAACTGAAAGGACACCAGTTTTTGAGTAATTCACTCTAAATTTGCACCAGCTCCATGGGGCAGTGCTCTACAGCTCACCCTGACCTTACCTCCCACTGTGGCGTACATGCAAAAACCGAGCTTGCTGTATAGGGATCAATAAAATGTCAGTGAACTTTTGCTACATGCCACAATTCTTTATGATGATAGCCAAAGAATCAGACTAATCCTCACTTCCAGAGCTCACCTCTGCTGGTCCTCTGACACTGTCTGTCAATCCTGCTGCTCTTGTTATTGTGTATGACTGATAAAAAGAACATACTTGAATAAACGAAAGGCTCTGAGGGTCTGTATATTTTCATGCAACTAAAATGTCAGACCACAATTCAGACATCAGTTTCATCTGACACTGGGGCCTCTGCCGAGGCAGCAAAAACACAATTAAACTTGAGGCCAAGATAAAATAGTCACAACAACCCTGCCGGCAGCATCTGATTGACACCTCAGTCATTAGAACTGCATGCCTTGCATTTCTCCAGTCATAAAGATGTTTCTGATAGCAGCTGATATGAACACTTGTGAGAGAGATTGCAGCTCAATCCACAGCTTTGCAACTTGCAGATCATCTGATAGAGGATGGAAAAAGGGACTCTTCTTTTTCGATACTTTCATGCTTGTGTTACCAAGGTATTGTTCTATTTATCCACACAGAAATCAGCATCAGAGTTGGTCTCTTGTGTGATTATTCTAGTCTGTTTCTGTTTTGTATTTAATTGCTCTTCACAGTTTGATTCTTTCAAGGTATTATCAAGATGAAGGTAATTTATAGTCCAATATATGACAGCAAAGTAGCTAGATAAGGTTTGATTCTCCCAGGATGACTGCAGTTTGCAGCGGCTAGCAGTGTACACACAAACATGTCTTTCCATCTTTCACTGCAGGGCAGTTATGAGAGGTTTCCTCTAGTGCCTGCAGAGGGAAGTATGGCACAGCAGAGTTCTCATGTCAGCCTTTTAAAGGCGAACCAGCATCAGTAATAAGAACCGATTAGGCATGCAAGTCAGCTATGAGGAGGGGGTGTTCCGATAGATGACACGACCCCTGAAGAGGCGTCTGGGAGATTTAAGGCGTTTTCACACCTTTTTTGCTCAGGGAAGTTACTTGGAACTCTGAAGTGCTCTCTCCCACTTAGTTTGCTTCTTTTGGCCAAATGTGAGTGTAGCAATCAGAGCGAGACCTCGCTGAGAAAGGAGTCTCTCAGTACATTCCCAAGCTAAAGTGGCGCCTCCACTAGAATCTGAACGTGATCTGAATGCAATCGAACTACTGTGAGGACACGTTGTCATATGTTGTCTACTTATGTGACTACATTCAAGTTATAACATGGTTATTGAAAGGTCTCAGGTTGGCCCAACTATTAGGAATTATTTGTGACATTTTCTGTCAGTGTAAATTACAACACCTAACACTGTGTTAAGGATCAGTACTCTTTGTGACAGATAAGTTCATTTGTAATGTTTTTGGAGAGGTTAAGAGCAGTTGATTATAGTTCTGTACGTGATTATAAGTGTTCTATACTATACTTAGTATTTTACAACAAATTAATATTCTTCAAGGAAGAACAAAATTTGACTTTTAGTGGGAGAACTGACTGACCAATTTTACACCTCTGTCCAGTCTGTGAAAATAACCCTAAAGCCTTTGCTTGCATTATGCAAAATGCATTGTTCTGGATCCTGGATAAAATGTGATGCAAGGCTTTAAAATCCAACACTTTCAAATGCAGCGCTGTCAAAGTGGTGCTAAATATGAAGAGAACAAATGAACACCTATAACTTGAGTATAGAACTTGGTTGTATATTCAAATAAACCAGCTTGGATTTCACTGAGAAGCTATACCTGCCCCCTAAATAATGTTTAATTCCAACCTCACAGCCAACCAGGCAAATGTGTTTTGAAGAAATGTTTACATTGCATATATTCCTTTTTTCTGTCAGGGTAACAAGGAAAAAGAGATCAACATTCTGTGACTTTAACTTTGCTGAATATTTACGGGACATAATCTCACTCTTATGAATGTTAATGAGCCATTATGGACCTTTTCTCAATTACTGTTTAACCAGAGGACCACTGGATGTTTCATACATTATCAACAGGCAAAACATTTTATCAACACCAACAATGTCAGTCTGACTGTACTGGGATTCTTGTTTCTTTCTGTTGTTGAAAAAGAAATGAATGGACAGAAAAGAAGGTGTTGCTTTTTCATTTCTATCATTTTCTTTTTTTAACTATTATGTCACCCCTCTGATTTTACCCTGTTACTAGTATTTGATTGTAGTATTTCATGAGTTTTTACTTAACACCAACCCAAAATTATGAATAAAGAAGTCTACTATTTCGTGCCATAAACTGCCGTTCCTCTCATGGCCACCCCCCAAAAAAAGAGTCATTCTCCAAAGACTCCTGTGTTAAAATGCCCACTGTCCCATTACAATTTAAGAGTCTGGCACAGAAGCAGCAGGTGCCTGTGTAACCCAACTTACGAAAGAATGACCGAACTCCTACTAGCCAGTATCAGAAAATCTAGGATCGACAGGAGCCCAAGGTATAAACACCAATAAGGAGAGACCACACCACAATAGACTGTTCACAAATTTGTTATATTAGACACACGGCAGCTGCAACAAATGTAATGAAAGCAATAAATTAAAATACAAAATATTTCACCCCAAAATAACAAACTAAATAAAAGTGCGTGCATACAGCTTTCTCTGAGTCAAATGTATGAGTGAATAATGTCTGGTAACTGATGGATCATTGGGGCCCGTTCAGTTTGTTTAACGTTACCACACTCCGATGAAGGAAGAAAGTTCGTAGTCCTGCAGGTATCTGAAGCTTCAATGGGAACTAAACTTTGGCTTCAATAAAACCTCAGCAAATCCTGTTAACTTTTGGGTTGGCTCGCCATCCAGTTAACTGGAACTGTGGAATCGCTGCTCCTCAATGAGGGCTTGCTTCAGACTGGGTCGGTCTGTCGAGTCATCCTTTTATCAGATAA